CCTGTCCTCCTAGATCTTGCTTGTGTAGACTAAGCTCCTTGGGTAGCAATGGTGGCACTAGTGAGAGATGCCAAAGTGCTAATCTAGCATTGGCCACAGAAGATTCATGTAGCTTTATTAATTTCTGCTGTGGTAAAATGAACAAACAAAGCAATGGCTGCAGCCTACAGCTTTCATAAGGAAGAAATGACAGACTGTAACAGTGTTTTCAAAGCTTTCTCTCTATAAAGCCCAGCTATTCCCTGGGAAGAACAGACTGGCCCTGGTAGAGAATTTATGCAAAAATTACAGAGGCAACACAGCTTCTACTTGCTCATCTTCCAATACAGAGAACACTGTTCCTTTTAGTCTGACACCTGCAGGTATGGTAAATCCCAAGGGCTCGACTATGCAGTTAGTGCAAACGGGTCAGGAAAGCAGCAACTGGAGCTTTTATTCTCCCAGTAGGTAAAGAGGGTAAAAGCTGATGTTCTTCAAGCACTAACCTCCCTGTCCGGGAGTGTAAGAGGGCATAATGCCAGCCAGCGGAGATGCTCTGTCCTTCGAAAGATACAGCTGCTGTTGTATCTCAACCAGCCTGGGAGCCCTAGAAGGCAGTTTTCTGGAGTGCCACATGGAAACGCGCTTCTAAAGCCCCGACTGAGTCTTATGTCAAATGCAAGATTGACAGAATCTCCACCGTGTTCCTCAATGCAAACTGGGACAGCCCTTTAAAATGACAGGATCAATCCGAGATGTGGCCTTCACATACAAAGAAAGAAAAAGGAATACTGACAGACAGAACAGCAGTGGTAAAACAGCTTTAAAAGTGGCTCACATAATCAGATAGATGCTGCAGAGCTGTCCTGCATGTATCCTGACGGTCCTTGCTCTTGAACAGTAGACACGCTTGAGCAATTTGCCTTAGTGGTTCACATGCCATGGCCCAAGAGACCAGTGTGCTGAATTACTGACATTATTGGGAACTTCCAAGAACTAGCAAAAAGGAGGAAATAAGGATATATTCCTATCCAAGAGGAGGTGTTCTCCGTTTCTTACTCCAGTTTGCCACATCCAGCTATACCACTAGGTGTCTCAGCAGAGAGCTGAAGGGCAGAATACCTACCCAACTGCACAGCAACTCACATCCACCAAGATACTTTGGGCCTAGCTCACAAAATCACCAAAAATTTGAGAGCTTGCAAATTCTTCTGTAAACTTAACCTCTCCTGCTCATTGCTACCACAGGAAACCTTCATATGTCAGACTCTCAGCCCGAGTCTGTGAAAAGCTCACGTATCAGCGTAACAGTTACACTCTAGAGAGGATTTCTCATGATAGAGTTTATAACCCAACCATTCTCATCCCTGCACCTGTATGTGGGAAGGGAAGAAACAGATAAGAACATAAATGAAATTGTACAGATTAAATCAATAACATTTATACATTTTTAACAAATCTTCATTAAAAAAATATTACGCACAAACAGTTCCACAACATAAACAGGTGCAAATTCCACTGCCTAGTAAAGCTAGGAAAGAGTTCATGTCTAATCAGAAGAAGTGGAGGTCCACAGCTATGTGTTTTAAAGACAGCCTTGATATTAGTACCTTTACTGTATTAAACTCTTGGTACTTAAATAAAAACAATAATATCTAGACAGCACAGACAAAGTATAGGATAATACATAAACATAAAAGTGCAAAATGTAATTTAAGTCAAAGTGTCTACTGGTCAAACTGCTACAAACTAAGTTTTAGAGATCAAACATAAACCAATCTGTGAGCAACCAAGGCCCTTTACTTTTCGTCTCATTTCCATCAGAAATCATCACAGGTAACATCAATCCAGTCTAAAGTGACACCGATTCCCAAATGGGTGCACATGAGAGAAGAGCTGAGCCCATGTCTTGATGGAAAACTGATCCTCGTTTCCTCTGTGTAATGCCAATTAATCCACAGGCTTTGCTCTGAATATCCGAGCAGAGAGAGAGAGAACAGTAACTGTGATGCCATGCTCAAGGGAGGCAGAGTCAGCAGCTCAACAGAAATGAAGCACATAAGGGCAGGGGGTACAGCGAGCCCTCGTTAGCTCCTCTGGAGTCACATCCCCCAGCTGATTGATTGATTCCAGCCATGAAAGATGACGATGAGGAGGTTAAGTAACACTGTTCTTCATTGGAAAAGTAAAAGATTATCCTCACAGTATATTTTTTCCCTTCCCTTTTTGTCTTATCTTACTTCTTTAGAGATAAAATATATTTTACAGTATCAGCTCATTATTGTGTTCATTCCCTTTAAAGGCAAAAGATCTTGTCACCCGAAGGGGGTGGGATGGGAGCAGCAGCAGACCTTTTATTAAACCTTTAAAAAGATTTCTAACTCATTTTGCAAATGAAAACAACAAAAGCCATAAAACTCTAGCAAAGGAGAGCTGTCACTGAGATTAAGCAGATCCAAACTCCACCATCCATTTTTCATACTTCTCCAGGTCTGCAGCAGAAACGGATTTGGAGATTTTCTTCAGAGCCAGCTCAAAGTCCCCCTTGGTAACCGGCATCTGAAGCTCCTCTTTAGAAAGTGCACGAATCTCTTCTGGAGTTAAACCGTTAATACGTCGTCTCATTGCCATTAGAGAGGCATCCCTGGAAATACAGGACAATGTATGGGAGCTAATTGCTAGCAGCATGTGCTGTAAGCCTATGAATTTTGATTGTATTCTCTTGCTAGAAACCACTGGCAGGCACACTTAAGAGAGCATTTATTTACCATAGAAGATGCGGTTCACATCTTTCTTAGCTTCCATGTTCCCAGATCACTACATTAATTCAACATAAAGAATGCATTGGCACCAAAACCCATTTAACCATATGGTAAATGTGCAGAGATAATTAAAACTATAAAACTGAAAACCTTTTACAGTGATTCATAGAAATGAAATTTTACAACTTCAGTGCAGGAAAGGGCAGGGTGGGAGAGGAACTGCACTCAAAGACTTTTTTTTTTTTTTGAAGTAGTCTGGATTTTGCATGCCCATCCCCTTAGATTTCAACCTTCTCCCCACTGTGTAGCCCAAAAGGACAGTCAGCAAGCATTCAGAGTGAAGCCCAGCTCTGTTGCCTGCTTGCACATAGCACCTGAATCTGTAAAAGGCAAAGCAGGAAGCACCAGACGCTAGTGTCATGTGGCAGGGCTGAGGCCACCAGTGCCTGTGGCTCCTCATGCTCTACCTGCTCCACGACTCCTCCCCAGCTCGGATGCTGCCACTGTGGCCCACTGGCATGGAGAACACCACTCATTTCTCACACCACGGCCCACATGCAGTCTGAAATTACATTTTCTCTTTCCCCAGGTTTTTCCCAGCAAGGGATAACACAGGCCTCAGGGAGAAAAGGTAATTTAACTATCGCGCTGCGTGACACACACCAAGTTTTCAAAACCATGGAGTCATTTCACAATTTCAGCAAAGCAGCAGGGGATTAAAAAAAAAATCCCAAGCCATGTTCTTAAAGGATCAGTTTCTCTTGGCAGGGATCCTAACATTGTAAGGGATGTAGACTGCCTACCAATACATTTTTCCAAATACCTATCCTCCACCAGAAAAGCCTCATTTCTCAGAAAACGAGACAAACTGTGGGAACAGGATGGAAATAAATTCAACACTATCAGTATCACCCTTGCACCTAAAAGATTCAGGCAGAAAACCAAGACTGTGCTGCACTGGGGGCTGTCCAAACATACAGCACATAGAAGCCCCAAAAATGTATTCTGTGAAAGGTTCCTTTGCATCACAAAATTCTAGCTTTTAAATTAATGGGATTAAAAAAAAAATCCAAACCTGTTTTGCACTATGTTAGCAAATATTCAGTAAATGCAGACAATGGTAACACGAGATTTGCTCAGACAATTGTTTTCTCTTGAGAGCCAAGAAAACAACCACATCTCATGCAAAGACTCCACGGCCTTTAGACTGCTCCACATGACAGTAATGCATGGTTCCAGTGAATAGATTTGGGCCTCAAACATAGTCACTTGTTAGCCTGGCTTCAGCTGTAGTGGGTATTGCCTTTTATCACATAATGTAAATGATGACTTTTGACGCAGTTCTATTTGCAAATTAAGGGGGATGAGATACCTGCAAACATTAGTGATGTCAGCACCAGAATAGCCTTCAATCTTCTCAGCAATTTCTTCAAGGCTGATATCAGGATCCAGTTCTACTTCCCGAAGATTAATTTTAAGTAGTTCTGCTCTGCCTTTTGCTACAACATAAAAATACTTGCTTGAAGACTTGCAAGAGTACATTAAGAAATAAACACAACTTGGATTTTTCGGTGAAAAGTACAAACAAAAGGGTTCAATATTAGAAGAGACAGAACAAAACAGTAAAGTGTGCAAGCAAATACAGTGAAGTATATGGTTAAAAGTAGTATATTAACACAGCACACCCTTGAGACATTTTCCAAAGTCATATGTCATTAAAAATGTCTGTTATGTCTCAGGTGACAAGAGCATTTGGTCACACACTACCCAAGGGCACAAAAGCACAATCCTACACGTCTGCTTCTTCTCACATCCCTTTGGATTCACTCGCTGTTCAAGGATTTGATTGCATATTATTCACAAAGCTTCATTAGAACCACAATGAGGATTCTATTAACAGAGCTTCAGACAGCACAAACCCCTTAGCAGTAGGCTGAACTTCAAGCATATGTCTACGCACTCGACTCAGTTGGGACCCAAGAAAGCTGCTGAAGCCTGATAGCCTCAGTGTTATTCTGCGCAAGGGTGGTAAAGAAGAGGATGAATGCTTTCCTGGCTTTTACTGTACAGAAAAATATACCAGCTCAGCACCTTTATTTCCACAGTGACCAATTTTTATGACCTAGAAAAGAGGACAACCACAACAGAAGAAATAGCAGTAGGAAAGTCTTAAGGAAATGTCCACACTTATGTTTTATTTATTGATGTCCCTAATTAAAAAAAGAGGGGAGGGAAAAAAATAAAAGAAATTAGAAAGCTTGTCTAAAGCTGCTGGTTTTGTGTGCTTTGCAGAACTGTCACGAATAGAGAGTTATCAATCACACACAACTGGCACTAGCTATAAAGTGGGAATTATTTACAGAGCACAGTATACATACAGCATACCTGCAGAGTGTCCTGCATCAGAGAACATTCTTCTAATCTTTGCTATGGGGCTAAGCAAGTCCTTGCAGTATTTTGAAAATGAAACACGGTAGAATATATACTGGCATCAAATTTCACAATATACGGGTGTATATATATGACATATCATAGCACTTTTTCAATTAAAATGCCTGATGACATCGAATCACACAGCACAGCTATAAATGCATCATTTAGATTTGCCTAGAACAGCTCAATATTCTTATTTACAGAATAGATGCAACAGACCATAAGATCGGAAATAAAACTGGAGCACATCTCATGTTGTCCAGGGTGTAATACACTGTGTCAAAAAACAATCTGGTTTAATTAGAAACAAGAGCAGGAGCTGATCGGATTTTAAACTAATTGGTCATAAAGACAGGCATCCTGTTAGGAGCTGTTACTGCCTGTAAGCTGGAAAGGCAAGCTGTAGAACTATTAAGTGTCCTTATACCTGCTAAACTCAATCACAACTGCTGTCACCATGAACACGCATCTTGTTATCTTGAGTGCTCATGCAGGAAGATGAGGCATCCACTGTACCAAGAAGAAACAAAGCTATGCAAACTTCAAGTGATAGGAATCACAAAATTAATAGGACAGGCGAATGACAGCTAGGAAAGACAATACAAGCCGAGACGTCTTAGGGCAGGAAAGCAATCAGCCTGCTGCATTCAGAGTGACTGGAAGCACAGTCATAAAGGCGAGCAAGCGGTGATTTACAATGAACGAAGCCTGTAAGTGAAAATTCGTGGATCCACTTCTTTGCATTTGTCTGCAAGGGCACAGAGTGCATCTGCAGTATTTCTGAACATGTCCAAAGGCTGCCTTTGATGATCACTCAAGGACTGACTGCTAAACATTTAAAATAATTCCAGGCTCATTAAAACTAACTCTCTTTCAAAATGTAAGAACCCATCAATGGGCTTGCAATGAAATGCCGCAGCTCTTTGTTTTTAAGCCCCCAAGCGAGTAGTATTTTTTTTTGTCTCACTCTCTTTAAAAATAAAGCGACCCAGCCAAATTATTAACCCCTGAATTTCACCACTCATCACAAAACCATCAAGATTCCTCCCAAACCCAACAGTCCTGCAGTAGTCCTAAGCTCATCTTGCAAAGGCCATTTTAAAGGAAAACACTCATAGCAAACATACCTGTGGGCAAAGGTATATAAATCCTCTTCTCCAGCCTCCGTCGGAGAGCTTCATCGATATCCCAGGGAAAATTTGTAGCTGCTAATACCATAACCATCTTGGAAGGGTCATCATTTTCCAGAGCACCACCTACCCCTGCAAGCACAACAGTTTAGAGGAGTTTCACTCCACAGCTACTATTGATTGAGATGCTTGCTAAGAAACACTGCACAGACAAATATTGCAAAAGCCTGGACAAAGCTAAGCAATGGCTCTATGTAGTCCTACTGCTGCTTTCCAAAATTCCCATAGCTTAGGTGTGACAAGACCATTGTTGTCACAGAGAAGGGGATATTTCATTCTTTTGCTGAGTCAGAGGAGGGCTTTCTTTGACGGGGCCAATAACACAGTCATATGTGAGTGTAGCCCTGCAAGTCCTACCGAAAGTGCATTCTCTGTCAAATCTGGCCATAGAAGAAATAGGAATCACTCCTTGGCCTCCCAAATGAGGACTGTAAAGAAATTATCACTTTGGGGCAAAAAGTTGCCTACCCTGAGTTTACCACAATGAACCTGCACATTTGAGGATGTAATAAGTAGTAAAAACAACAGGAATACAGAGGTGGTTATCAAACCACTACGCCATACAATATTCCTCAGATGGTCATCCTTGTTATGCGCACCTGCACAGAACAGGTACTAAATCTGACTAAAAGGGTAATATTAGCTGCCACCACAGAATACAGCAAAACCAGATCTCAGTCCCTGAGCTAGAGACTCTAGCAAAGCATGAATCTCCATTTCCTGCTTCTCCTAGAGTCTGCATCTCTTAAATACGAGTTTTCAATTTACCATCAAAATGGCTATTTTAGAAAAAATAACACTCTTTTCAGTCATCTGCCTTCAAATACTCCAAAATACACTGCTCTTAAATTTTGCCTTATTTTTCCCCCCATCCATAAAGCCAGGTTTTCCAGATTGCTCAAGTTTTTACATTCCCACCTGTAAAGAAACAGCACCCTAGCCCCAGACTTAGATCTAAACACTTGTTACCGTCCATTTGCACAAGCAGCTCTGACTTGACTCTGCGACTCGCCTCGTGTTCGTCGGACGTGCCTCTGCGGCTGCAGATGGAATCTATCTCATCAATGAAGATTGTTGTTGGAGCATAAAACCTCGCCTTTATTCAAATGAAAACATCACCATTCAGGCTGCAGCAGCAAGCACAGGCCCTCATCAGACCACGACCCAGTCCCACTAGACACACTACATACATTATCTTCCCTGCCTGTCACAAGAAAATAATTCAAGATCTTGATTTACAAACTGCTTGGCATATGGTTGTTTAAATTGTACTCCTCAAGCAAGGGGTCTTTCAGTGTTGGTTGGTTTTCCCCAGCACCTGGTCTTGCAAGGGGCAAAAAGGGATACAATCAAAACAAAGGCAGTTTTTCATGTCCAGGTTTTTCTGCGATGAGTGGTCACCCCAAGGGACAGAAGGGAGCTCAGCCTGTCTCAACAGAGGCAGGTCTTAACTGAGAGTACGGTAGGAGTGCAGCGAGGATCCCAAATAGGGGAATGACCCTTCAGCATAGGTCCACATGGGCATGTCCTTCATGTACCCCGCATGATGGACCGCACCCAAAACTTCACCGAGAGGCGTGTGCCCATCATTCAGAACAAAAAAAGAATGTATTGCTTCTACATTAACAGTTCCCAATCCCTTCCAATCTCAAATCTACTTCCTATGGGCTGATCCTATAACCGAATAAGAACTGAATTTCTGTCAAGGTCACAACTCTACGTCTAGTCTGGAAAACACTATCCTAAACACAGGTAATGAACCGTTTCCTTCTTAATCAGAAAAGGACAGAAACACAGAGACTGTGCTTTTCTATCTGGTTGAGGGCGTGTCAGTGCAATGAATTCCACGCTTCCAACATGCTATCAGAGGGGCAGGAAACCAAGGGAGATGTCCCTTCTCACCCTAGCGGTCCCCAGATCACATCACTGAGGACATACCATTTCAAACAAGAGGCGGACCAGCTTCTCAGACTCGCCTCTGTATTTAGATGTCAGGGTAGAGGAAGACACATTGAAGAATGTTGTTCCACATTCTGTAGCAACAGCTTTTGCTAGCATTGTTTTGCCAGTACCAGGAGGACCAACCATCAGCACGCCCTGAAAGGTGAAAACAAAGGTAATGAACAACAAATAAAAAAACTTTGCAAATGGTACTCTATGTTACATCTCAATATGATCCAAGATCTGTATTTTCATTGTTTAATAACATAATCGCCATCAGTGGAAAATAAAAGACAAGAATCCTGCTTTCTAGAACAGCATGGAAGTGCTCTGGGATTTATTCTTCTTGCCACTCCACTGGAGTAGGAATCACAAAAGCCAGTAACTGTTGCTACACTTATCACCTGTGAAGTGGGCAACAGATTTACAGCCGCCTTCTGAATCAGACAGAGCCTGGACTTGAACTTAGGCCTTTCCCAACTCACAAGGGGCTGCACGTGCAGATGAAGGGAGCAAATCCTTCGTTTTGGAACAAAGCCCCCTTCACGAAGAAAGCATCACAGAAACCAAAATACTTTTACAGAAAGTTGTGCTCCACCAATAGAGCATTTTTCTGCAGAAAAACATTTTGCCAAAAAATCCTGATGATGTGTATGTATGATTCTGCTTGATTTTTACATTTAAGCATGAACAAGAGCATTCACTGAAAACAAGGGTTTGTCATACTGTTTAATCTCCCCATCTCAGTACTTCTGTGGCCATACTACTGCATCTTAGCAATTCCTGGATGAAACTGCATCCTCACCACACTGTTAGGTGGCAGAAGAGCACTGTTATTTCTGTTTCACAGATAAGCAATGGTTGCTCATGTGGACTACTGCTCAGTCCCACAAAAAGCCTACTATGAACCTCAGTGATTATTCAAAAAGCTTTAAACTAGAAAACGGAACTAAAATTGTTAAGTCCCAGGTTGGCATTCACACCATCAGACTGTCTTTCCACCTGTGGTCTATCTGAAAGAGAGAAAGGAGCAAACATCTGCAGCTCAGCACATTTACCCATCATTACGCAAGCAAGTTTTTAGCTAGAGACACAGTACTCTTAGGACCCATGTTAAGATTGTAGCACTCAGACTGGTTAACCACTCTTGATAATATTTCTAAATACAGTTATCTTTATGGATAGTCTTTCCAACCCTTTCAGCAGCAGTGCTGGAAGAGGTACAACACACTGTTCCATCCCTGTACAGCACTAGAATAAGGTACTGTGACTTTGGGCAGAGCACTATGAAAATGTAGTGCTCAAGGAGCTTGGGGTTTTATTTTCCCCCCTCTCAACCCCAAAAATCTTATTACATGCTAACACGTTTCCTAAAGTAAAGTACTGTGTTGCAAGGGTAATCAAATTAGCTAGAATTAGAATTGCACATCATAATGTGTTTTGCAATTAATAACTTACATAAAATGCCACAGCAATAAAATATCTGTTAAATGCAAGCCACATAGCAAATTAGATTTCATCTGTTCCTCACAAAAATTTACTTCAAAAAGCACAAAGAATGACATGGAAGAGATCTATAAAAACAAATCAACCGGGAATGCAATTATTCAAAAATGTACTATTCAAAAGCAATAGCCTCTCTGTACTCCATTTTCCATTAACTCTTAATACCTTTATTGCCATTTTACACTTAGCTAATGCAAGCTTAACATACATTAATTGGTAAATTAAGTTAGAAACATTCACACGCCATCCATACAGTTAACAGTCCAACGTCACTCCCCAGGCTGCCCGAGGTTTCCTAAGCTCCAGAGCAGCAAGCATAAAAAGTAAATGGACTCTTTTTCTCTCCGTGAACATTCACACATATACTGTGATTTGAGTTGCTGCACAGTCATACTGGTATTTTAATAATATTGTGAGTACAGCCCCGGAGTAACCAAGTGAAAATTACTCAGCCTGTGATATGCAGGTCAGAGATGACTTACTGTTCTCTCTGAGTTTCAAATGTGTTTATTTAATATTTTAGAAACAAGCTTCACCTCAATTCAAATCACTTGACTCCTGTGTTTGACAAACTGTGTTTACTGCAGAACCTGGTGATACAAGGGACTAATGTCATTCTGGGGATATTGCTTTGGTCCTCCATTATTATGGAAGGTCAAATTCTGGCTTCAGCTACACATGCCACTCACTGCCGAAATCAAAGCCTATCATTTTGTGCCTCCTGTGTAACTATTACAGTGAGCGTTACCCAGTGCATGATGCTGGTGGCATTATATATGTGCATAACACAGGTGCAAAGCAGCCACACCAGGTGTAAAGCTAGGGGAAAACCAAGCTCTCTGGGGATTAAAAAAAAAAAAAAAAGTGAAAAAAGAGAAAAGAGAAAAAAGAACAAACCTGAGTTCAGCAAAACAAGATGTGCGTGGTTTCAAACAGAAACACATAGGATCAAATTGCTCTTTCTCTCTCCAAACTAGGAGGTTGCCACTTACTCACTAGTTAAAATCCTTGACAAACACAAAGACTTCTTTATTCTTCCTCTAAGGCTCTGTTAATCCAAAGTATTCCAATAAGAAGCTGAAATGCACCGCAGGGAGTAAGTGTTCTGATGAAATCACTGCAGGGTTACTTCTTGTTGTTGTAACAATCACTAGCAGAGCAGTGGGAAGCACAGCGAGCGACCAGGCCTTCTTGGCACAAAACAGTTTGTAGGAAAAGAAAGAGCAAGCCCATGGACACTCAGAAACCCGTGGCTGCAAAGACACAGCACCTGTGTTGAATCAGGGAAGACAGCTGGCTCCTTCATACAAGGCATGGTCCTCTGAATGCAGGCACAAACTGTGAGGGCTGTCTTGGGAATTGTTCTCAGGAGAGTCTGAACATCCAAAACCAGATTTGGCTGCCTTTTCCCTGAATTGTCCTGAATGCCTAGGCTCAACAAATGCCTGCTGCTACACTGATTACTGCAAGAAACAGTCTTCCCTGCAAAACTTCTCATCCTTGTAGCACAGTCAGAGGTCAACAGCAGGGAAAATACATGCTGTTCTGTGTGAAGAATAAATTCAGAAGAGTTACAGCTTCACAAGTCACCAGGGAAAAGGCTAACAATGAAGAGTCTTCATGGACTCGTCAGAAATCAATTTGCATTTCAGACTGAAGAGAGGAAATAATCTTAGATTTTTTTTCCATGTCTACAACCGCCTAGTTTTCAGAGGTGACGCTGCTCAGTAGGAAAAGATAATCTCATGCAAAAAGATGGAGACCGTAACTCTTCAAAAGACCAGGCTGTTGTTTCTTTATCCACTGCCACAGTACCTGGGGGCAGGGCCAGTGGCACTCGTCATGTTCCCTGCAGTCTGCTGAGATACCTGCCTTAAAGACAGATGGGCACTACATCCTCGAGGCGTATTATACAGGTGAAAGAAAGCATAGCAGCTCTTCACTCCCTTAGAGTTTTTGAGAGTGGGCAGACGGGGCTCCTGTAGTCTATAATAAGGGTATGGATCAACTTCCTCTATGCCAAGAGGCAGAGAGATTCAGCTGTTCAGAAGACACTAAACTCTCACCCTACACTTGTAACCCACAATATCTAGGCTCTCTCCAAACTGGTAGCTTGGTTAACCTTAAGGTTAACCTCAAGCCCACTGATACTGCCACCACAAACCCTCTATATCCCAAAGGCCACATAGCCTGGGGCTAGGTTTGGGCTGCCCCCCTCCAACTCACTAAAACCTCCATGAACAGCCCTCAAGCAGCAATCTCCCAGCTCCCACTCTTACCAGCTTCCCCTCTTCACTGTCTCTAGACAGTAAAGCCCCAAGAATGACAAGTTTTCCACTCATCAGTTCCCACAGGGCTTTGTTTCATAAATAAGCAGAATAATGGGGGTCTAGGACTGGCTCAGGCTGGAGGAGGACAGCTTTGAGGGCCAGACCTAAGCATAAGCCAGAGAAGTACAAGGACAAAAAGGCAAAAAAAGACAGGGCAAGTGTTAATAACACAAGATCTGACATATGCTTCTGAACCAGACCAGTTTTGGGCCCCTCACTACAAGAAAGGCATTGAGGTGCTGGAACGTGTCCAGGGAAGGGCAACAAAGCTGGTGAGGGGTCTGGAGCACAAGTCATATGAGGAGCAGCTGAGGCAACTGGGGTTGTTCAGCCTGGAGGGGAGACCTTATTGCCCTCTACAACTACCTGAAAGGAGGCTGTAGTGAGGCAGGGGTCGGCCTCTTTTCCCAAGTAACCAGCAATAGGAGGAGGGGAGATGGCCTCAAGTTGCACCAGGGTAGGTTTAGGTTAGACATTAGGAAAAAATTCTTCACCAAAAGAGTTGTCAAGCATTGGAACGGGCTGCCCAGGGAAGTGGTTGAGTCCCCATCCCTGGAGGTATTTAAAAGATGGGTAGACGAGGTGCTTAGGGACATGGTTTAGTAATGGACAGGTAAGGTTGGACTCAACGATCTTAAAGGTCTTTTCCAACCAAATGATTCTGTGAACCAGCATACTAAAGCTCAGAAACTACTCACGTACGCAGCACTCCCTACGCATGCCACTGCCTTGCCAACTCAGAACAACAGAAAATTTGCAAGTCTCTTTTCCTCAGTAATCCTTCATAGTAACCAGAAAGCCCTTGTGTTGTGACTAGTTATTCCCAAAACAAGTGTCAATCCATCCCACAACAAAAGCAAGATAATTTTATTTTCTGTTAACAGAACTGCTCAGCAACCTCCTCCCTCCTCTTCATTTTTAGCTCTAAGAGGCCCAGACTGGGCTCACCTCTGATCAATCAGCCAGGACAGCTCAGTCCTACATCCTTCCTGTTGCCCCACTTGCAGCTCATTCTCCCACTTTGAATTTCTCCCACTCCAGCAGTAACTATGCCCAGCTGCAAGCATAACTGCAAAGCTAAATCAGCACTCCCTCATCAGCCCCCTCTGATGCACCACCAAGGAGTTGCACCATCCAGCCTGCAGTTTGCAGTCCGAGTGAGAGATAGTTGGCACACGCAGAATAAAATGGTCCGAGGACTGCTTTCCTCCATAAAGTATTGAAGCGTGGCCACCATAATCCTGAGCAGAGCTTCTGCTCCTGTCAATATACCTCATATGCTTGCTCATATGTACAGACTGACATATAGAAAGTATTACAATGTCAACAAGCCATGACTGAGTAAATACAAAAGAATTATTATTTACTGTAAAGCCCACATACAGTTCCAGATGTTTCTTTCAGTGCATTTTACTTTAATTATTATGAGAGGATTTCATGAACAAATTCCTGATCTTTCCCGTTTGCCTTTTTAGCCTTCTGCTACAGGCATCCACGCAGACATACATAACTGCAGCTTGCCATTTACAAAAACACCAAACAAGTTCTCACCTTCCAAGGTCTTCTGATCCCTTTGAAAAAATCAGGCATCCACATTGGAAGAACGACAGCTTCTCTTAATAATTTCTTGGCTTCTTCCAAATCCGCTATGTCATCCCTGTGCAAGATGAAGAAACTTATGTGTAAGATTCCTGTACAACAATATTCCTTCTGTTTTTATATAAGAAAAACAGAAAAGCTTTTCACTTAATACCATCTCTTTTAGCATGCCAGTATATGCCTCATGAGAGCACTCTTATAATCCTGTGACCTAAAATTGAATCCACTTTTGGAAGGTAGGGAAAAAATGATTTTTCAACTCAAGTTACCCAGAGCTGCTTAATTAAAAATTGTTTTGGACAATGTGAACACCAAAGCGGTATCTTTAAAGTTCTCTGGAGTGTACTTTCATTTCAGCAGTACCTGTACTGCTGATGTACTGCACATAATACCAGTTAGCAACAAAAGCTTAACTGTAATCAAATTAATAAACTGTTAAAACCAAAATACCTTGTTTTGCTTATCTGTAGAAGATTATGATGGCTCCCTGCTTTAAGAGTTAGAGGAAGGATAATTTCTCTCCTTCTTCCACACTAGCAAAAACACTTGAATTGAGAAAAGCCTCATACCAATGAATGCTTGGATTCCTTGATACAATGTCCCTTTCAAGAGCTTCGATCAAGTCTTTGTCGTAACCTGCTCCATCAAATTTTGGAATTTCCCCATCACCAACTTCCTGGGGTATTTTCTT